GCCGGGTGATGCCCGCCGCCCTCGGGGAAGCCGGGCAACCCAGCTCCGCGGGATCGCTTCATGCCGCCCACCGGCTTGGAGCCCGCCAGAATGAACAGGAAGAAAGGAGACAAGGGCTTTGAAAGTCCAAGGCCGTATAAATTATAAGTATTTTTTCCATCGCCCTTTCCTCTTCGGGGTTTGGCTCTCATCCGTTCTGCTGTGGGTTTTGCGTGAAACTGACCTGGGCTTGGGAAACCTAGTGGGAAACGAGAAGCCATTCTCTGTGACAGAAATGCCATTTGTAGGGCGAAACGCCTTGCCCGACAATGCAATTCAACAGATTTAATGCCCCTTTGCAGGTTAATAAACCTTTTTTTCTTAAAATGCAAAACTGTATTTGTCCGAAGAAGTTTATTTTCATGGCTGTTGCTAAATTGAAAAGCAAGTTACCCAAATTTGTAGTATTTTAAAATGAAAGATAAAGTGATTTTTGAGCTGCTTAGGACATAGTCTTTGCTTATACTTAGATAGAATTATGCTTCATTTTAATAATAGAAATATTTTTGTATTTTTTTTAATCTACAACCCATCAGGTCGTCTGCATCAACAACATAAACTTCCAGAGAAAATCTGTTGTGGTAAGTACATTGTCAACAATTGTAAGCAGTAACAAATCCACCAGAGCACACACTGGCTTAACTTGGCTACTAAGAGGCCAGTTTTTGGGTTTGTTTTTTTAAAATACATTTTATTGATTTCAGAGAGGGAGAGAGAGAGAAACATCGATGAGAGTATCATTGATCGGCTGCCTCCTGCACGCCCCCTACTGGGGGATTGAGCATGTGCCCTTGGCGGAATCAAACCCGGGACCTTCCAGTCCCCAGTCCAATGCTCTACCCACTGAGCAAAACCAGCCAGCGCCCAGTTTTGTTTTTTGTTTCTTGGCTGACCTGGTTTATGTGACATCGGTGGCTAATGAAATTCTAGATAAAGTGTTTGAAATCTAGTGCCCCCCCCACCCCCCATGTAGATGTATAGATTTCGAATACGTTTCCATTCTAGGAAAGTCCTTGACAACCCAAGAACTTAATTTACTCTCTCAGGGGAACCTGTATTAAATAGACCAAAAATGTAGTGAGAGTTGGTTTTCTTTGAGGTATGGCATGAACTTTCCTCTCCAACTTACTTGAGATGAGCTGTATAGATTTTTAAAATGTCATATTTTACTAAGAATCATAGAATCTTGGATTTATAAGAATCCTTAAAGATTCATTAGGGCCAATTTCCTCATTTAAGGAATTTCTTTTTCAATATTCCTTGCATATGACTATTTACCTTATACCTTATGGAAGGATACGTTAGATGTGTTGTGTTGTATGAATTGGGCAGGGAAGATACAAGAATTAGGGAGTCTAGTTAAGAGGTTCCTGTACTAATCTAGGTAGTGGAAAGAAAACTGGGTAAAAGAATGTAGAACTGAATTGCTACAGTCTTGCTTTCTCTCATTGGTGTCAAGGCGAAAGTTGATATACACAGTTTCCTTATTCCTCCACCCATTCCATTTCCCCCTTTCCTTTTGCTAGTATTTCTTTTGGTCTGATCTAGACGTTCATTCCTGTAGGATCTGCATCCTTGCTTGTTCTGTGTTTGAGCTGTTGTAGTTTTCCATTGACTAGGATGTCCAAGTGAGAGCTTAGACGCAATCTGGTGAATGCCCTGGATTCCACATGTAATTTTTGTCCTATTGTATAGCACAGTGATGACGAACCTTTTGAGCTCGGCGTGTCAGCATTTTGAAAAACCCTAACTTAACTCTGGTGCCGTGTCACATATAGAAATTTTTTGATATTTGCAACCATAGTAAAACAAAGACTTATATTTTTGATATTTATTTTATATATTTAAATGCCATTTAACAAAGAAAAATCAACCAAAAAAATGAGTTCGTGTGTCACCTCTGACACGTGTGTCATAAGTTCGCCATCACTGGTATAACAGGACCTCAATTCCTGTTTGATCATTGGGATTAGTCATTCCAGCCAGTACAGTGACCTCTTTCTCTGCCTCTTGGTTCAGTGGTATAAGGAGCCTGAAGTGGTCAAGGGACAGTCTCAGCTTCCAGTTTAATGGGAACCATGACTATGTGCCCTGGTGTTTGCATTTCTCCCTTGACCACTAGGACCTCTGAACACATTGAATCCAAGGTCACAGGACAGGAAGCAAAAACCCTTTCAGTGGCCTTTTTGGTGCAATAGTGAAATAGTCACTCTCACTTTACCCCTTGGTTCCCAGCTCTGTTTGAGCTGTGGAGAAGTGACCCTGTATATTGTCCACTAGCATCCTGTTGGAGGCCTTTCAATTGTTGCTATAACTGAGCCTTTAGTAACTGATCATGCCAGTTGCTTCTGAATGGTAGGGCATAGCACAAAACCAATACATTTTGTGTGTTTTAAGAGTCCATTGCCACACTTCCCTATATACTTGATTGGAAGTATGTACGGGTTATTGAAACACAGGTTTAAACTGTGTGGGTCCACTCATGTGGGTTTCTGTGTATAAGTGGACTGGCATGTTGTTCAGGGGTCAACTGTATTTTTCATCTGCAGCTGGAAATCTGCAGATGCAGATGGCTGGCTTAAGTGATACATGGATTTTTGACTGTGGATGGTTGGTGCCCCTAAACCTCTGAGTTGTTTAAGGGTCAATTGTATATTGTAGTTAGGGAAGGAAAATCTAGAGTACATGTCTGTTCTTGTAAGGACAAATCACTGTCCCCCATGTATGGTATGTACTCTCTAATGTTATTTTTCTACAAAGCGACTGGTCCTTTCTGGGAAGGTCCCATATTAGAAGTTTAATGTCATCTTCTGCTACTGGGAGGTGGCACTCAGTAGTGCCTTGGTGGGAGGAAGACCATGTCATTAGACCCATGCACAGCCTCCATTCTTGCCACCATGACCGCTGTGTATATTGAGCAAGGTGGTATTGCCAGTTGACTTTTGAGGGCTCCTTCTGCAGTGGGTGCCCTCTGATGGTCATTTATGTGATAACAACATGAATATTTTCTTATTATCCCTAGCCTAAGAAATGTATTCTTATACTTAACTTCTCACACCATTTTCTAATTTTCAGTGTTTTAATCTTGTGCTTTACAAGCCCCCGACCAGCCAGCCAACCCATGAGTATCTAACTGCCAGTGGATCAGTGTAGACGTGTACTTGAGATCATCTCTGCTGCTACAAAGAATGTACAACCAGATATTTTCTTTTCCCCAATGTTCTTTCCACTGTAGGATTTTCTTGCATTGTCTTTCAGGGTCACACTTCATTGGTGCTAGAATTATTTATAATTCAGATTTGTGCTTTGTCCTATTCTGCTTGAACATGGGGAACTCTATGAGGCTATAGGTGTGGAATGAGGGAGAGGTGGAGAAGCAGTGGGAGCAAGTCCCATTGGATTCTGAGTCACATGTTCATGCTGTTTGTGCTTTATAAATCTGCTTGACCTAGTCCAGATGTGTTGTTTCCGTTTAAAAGTGGAAAGCTGCTGCACGTGTCCAGTTTTATTCTTCAGAGCTTCATACTGTACTCAGTTCATGATGGTCATTTCAGGTAACATAGTCTCTCGGAGTCCCATGGTCATGTGTTCAGTCTCTGCCGCAGGGTCTAGTAGTAAACCAGTAGTTGCTTTGCAAATGGAAAATAGTTATTGGCAGAAGAGGTCACGCTCATATTCCCTGGAATGTACACCATCATTCTATTGGAAGCTAGATGTCTATCTGGTATGGACATTTCCAATACCATTGGATATGCTGAGTCATAAGGCCCAGGTGGCAGGGCAGCTTGAACCACAGCTTGCTTGAACCCTTTCTTACCTTGGACCCCTATGTAAGCCTTATTGGTTATCTAGTAAGCAGTATGCCCAGAACCTGAAGAAACCCACCAAGTTTGATGCCTCTTTTTTCCCCCTCTTAGTGGGCAGTGCAAAATGAAGCAACTTCTTTTCACTTTAGGTCTATTTTTATATGCCTCAGACCACTGGAACCTTAGAAGCTTCATTGATGTGACAAGTCCCTGAACTTTCACGTGATTTAACTCTTACCCTCTGCCATCTGTATTTTTTTATTAAGGCATTTAGAGAATTTGTTACTCCTTTCTCACCAGGTCCAGTTAGCATAATGTTGTTAAAAAGCAGTGTAGCTCTCCATGGGCTATCCGGCAATTAAGCGACTTTTGGAGTATGCTTGACTGAGAAGGAGAGTTGACATTAATTGCTAGGTGACAGTGAAGGGCTTCTTTTATCTTGGAGGAAACTTGCCTCTAATTTCTTTTTAAGAATTGGGGGTGGGGGAGCATTTGCTTGATAATTAGCTGCACCACTAGTTACCAAATCAGCTGTGCTGATTTCCTGCAGTAAAAATTTTCCCTCTGCAAACATGGTTGGCAAGTTTGTGATACTTCATTATCATTCTCCAAAACCTATTTGACTTGTACTGGCCAAATAATTGAGTTAAATGAAGATGTAGTAGGCATCTTTTAAATATCTGGTCACTAATCTCTGTAGTTCCCCAGGAATGTTTAGTTGCTTTGATTTACTATCTTAGGGAAGTGAAACAAGTGGTCCAATGGTCTTTTTAGTCCTATTGTAATCTTCATTCCTTGGTCAGAGAATGAATATGAGGATTTGCTGAGTACTGAAGTATGTACGGTATGTTCTGGGACTGGGAACATAAGCACTAGTCCTACTCTGAGATAGACTTGAGCCATGACTTTAATACTTGACCTGCAAAGACTTCTAGTCTGACTAATAGAGTATGGTCTGGGAATCCAGGGATTAGTGTCAGTTCAGAAACAAGATATAATAACTCTAGGAAAAGGGCAAAAATTAATTCATTTGAGCTTGACATAGATTTCAAGATTTTAAAAGCAAGATATATGACATTTAACATATTTGTAGGCAGGGGGGGAAATTCTATATCGAGGGGAGATTGCAGTTGCAGGAGAGGGTAATTAATCGAGCAGGACTTTTTTTTATTATTAATATATTTTATTGATTTTTTACAGAGAAGAAGGGAGAGGGATAGAGAGCCAGAAACATCGATGAGAGAGAGATCGATCAGCTGCCTCCTGCACGCCCCCCCAGTGAGGATGTGCCCGCAACCAAGGTACATGCCCTTGATGGGACTCGAACCTGGGATCCCTGAGTCCGCAGGCCTACGCTCTATCCACTGAGCCAAACCAGTTCAGCTAGAGAAGGATTTCTGAAGATACTATGGAGAATCACCACTAGTAGAAGAATTCTTAAACAGGAGGGAATGATAGGTCCATGTAACAGAGGGGGAAGATAATTGATAGATGGTGGAAGAGGGGTTGAAGTTAAGGATCTTGGGAGAATGGAGAAGAAAGTAGCCCTAAAAGAGAAACTGGAGGAGATTGAGGAGCAGGAGAATTTAATGTGGCTGAACAGGACGACTAGGAGAGAAGTATTAAGGGCAAAAGGATAGAAATTGTAGGTATTCTGAGCAGCGATGAGGTGTCTTCAAGAGTGTGATCTTGATTGTTGTCCCTTAATGGAAGTGAAGATCATAGGAATTGAAGTAAAGGAATTTTGAAGCTGTTACTCAATGGATCAGATATGCCTTCAGTCAGGTAACTTAGAGTGATGGCAGAGATGGGTTAGAAAGGGAGAGTCTGAACCTTCAGTGAATGTTGGGGAATTTTGGAGGATAATATAACTTGTATGGCATAAACACAAAGGAAAAGAAGTAAAAAAAGAATAATAAAAACATTTATTAGGCATACATTAGATGCCAGCTAAGTGCTTTTTATGTATTAAATTGCTCCATTGTCATAACACTAAAAGGTAGATAGTGTCATTATTCTTATTTTACAGATGAGGAAACTGAGGCACAGAGAGCTAGAGTAACTTAGCCCAAGATTAGTAGTGGAGCTGGGATTTGAATGCAGGCAGTCTGTCTCCAGAACATGTACATTTAATTTGACAGTGACACTATACTACCCTTGCTCATTTACTACATGCTCTAAAATCTGTAAATGGTTCAGGAGTAGCAGTGGAAACTAGGTTTCCTGTTTTCCCCTCCTCTAATTTATAGTGAATGAAAGAAAAAGTAGCTTCTTGTCAAGGGGAATTCAAGAGACATTTCATGTAAGGCTAGAAGGTAGAGGAGATTTTTTGAAAAAAATTGAATGGCAACAGGGGAGGTTACTTAAAGTAGGGTAGAGGTTCTAGGAGGATGGTCAGCTCTGAGGTGGGGAGAGAGCAAGGAGCAAGGAAGAGATGAGAGTGAGTGAGATGTTAGATGACCTGGGAGCAGTTACACCAGCTGCTAAGGATGCCAATCAATGGGACTGAGCATTGCAGGCAGGTACAGGTTAGGGCTCTAGTTGGTGTCAGAGACCTGATGATTCAAGGAGACTGGGCTTTCCTTCACGAAATACACATCATTCACTATTTTATTACTGTTAACCTTAGTTTAGTTCAGGGGTCCTCAAACTTTTTAAACAGGGGGCCAGTTCACTGTCTCTCGGACTGTTGGAGGGCCAGACTATAGTTTAAAAAAAAAACTATGAACAAATTCCTATGCACACTGCACATATCTTATTTTGAAGGAAAAAAACAAAACGGGAACAAATATAATATTTGTATTTGCATGTGGCCCGCGGGCCGTAGTTTGAGGACCCCTGGTTTAGTTTACTGTTAACCAAATCCTGTTCTTATGTCTCACCCATATAGCTAGCTGTTGACAGCACTTTCCATAATCTTTTCTTGTTTACTTTTGACATTATCTTGGTTCTGCTTGCTGTCTTTCAACTGATCTGAACTGATTTGTGTAGATTGGTAAGTGCATTGCTGATGTGCTAATTACGGGAATTTGAGTCTTCTTTCCTACAGTTGCTCACAGTTTACACCTTTAAACACAGAGACTTCATCAACACTATTTTTGCATTTGCTCTTTCTGTTCTCATTGGCTTTCTCATAGGTCTGTCCAGATGTATGGCTTTTCTCTTATTTTGGAAGGAGGGAAAAAAGCTACTGGATCTCTAGGTTTTTGAGCAGTTGGGTTGGATGTTATCTAAAAATTCTTGCATGTATTTTAAAAGCTTTACACTGAGACATGGCATAATGGATGGAAATCAGTTGGAATCATTTAGAAGTGGATTTGAATCTTAATTTTCCATTTGTTAATATAATTTCTAAACTGTTATCTGTAAATGTATAACATAGACCTTATCTTTTAAAGTTGTTATTGGAATTAAAACAGAAAAGTAGTATAATATCTGGTATATAGCAGTGCTCATTAAACAGTAGCCATTATAATTGTTATAATCTAGCCTTCTATGTTTATTGCCTACATTTCATCTTTGCTATTCCTGTTGCAGCCTCTGAGATTTTTCTCTTCACTTTGCAGCCCCTGAAATGTTACTGTTATATGCCCTCCCATATTTTGTGTTTGAGAACATCAGTGTTCAACCCTAAGATATCTAACTTACTGGACAGATATTCCGTTTCATTGGTCTGTCTTTCCCATTTGAACACAAGAGGGTGGCGGTCAGTCAGTGTATTTAGCTGTCTCTCATGTCTTAGGTACATTTTTCAGATAGATTGCTCACCACACAGCTTACATGGTAGAACTACATGTGTACGGTCTCTGGGTCTACTTGGTTGGAACTCATCCAGCATCTTGAAGTATCTGCTGCTCTAAGAGGCAGCAACAAATTTTCCCTACTTTTCTGAGTATCCCTTGTAGCTCTTGCCTCTTCACATTTCTGATTTATCTCTCATTAGCAGTAACTCATACTTGTTAGCTTCATTGATGTAGTTTATTTTTTATCCTATTTGGGGATGGGGGGAAGGTTTTTTCACTCACTGACATTGTTTTGATTTTCTTTCTGCTCTGTCATTCTTTTTTCCTTCCTCTGTTTGGGTTCCAGTCTGATTAGAAATCATTACATTTGAGAGTAGTGAGTCCTTTTACTTTTTTCCTAACAGATGGTTTAATATTCACTGGTTGTGACTGTGAACCACCAGGATGATAAAGCATACATAATTTATTTCCACTCAGTCACTAGGACAGTGATGGCGAACCTTTTGAGCTCGGCGTGTCAGCATTTTGAAAAACCCTAACTTAACTCTGGTGCCATGTCACATATAGAAACTTTTTTATCTTTGCAACCATAGTAAAACAGAGACATATTTTTGATATTTATTTTATATATTTAAATGCCATTTAACAAAGAAAAATCAACCATCCAAAAAATGAGTTCACATTTCACTTCTGACACGCATGTCATAGGTTCGACATCACTACACTAGGACATGTTTGAAATGAAGATAGTTGGAGAGCACTTGTATGTACTGTATATAGCTATTTGGGATTATGGAGTGTACTGTGTGAAATCAGAGAAGTATGTTCTAAAACATACCAATCTTAATTATAATGAAATTATTATTACTTATCTTTACAGGGATTTGTGGAACTGACTATATTTCCCACAGTTGCAAACTTGAATAGAATCAAGTTGAACAGCAAGCAGTGTAGAATATACCGAGTAAGGATCAATGATTTGGAAGCTGCTTTTATTTATAATGATCCGACATTGGAAGTTTGTCACAATGAATCAAAACAGTAAGTTATACACTAAAAGTTGCTATTTCTAACAGTCCTTTTTTTCACATGATTTGATTAATTTTTTCAGTTTAGTTTTCCAAGATTATTATTAGACTCTGGTTCCTAGGCTTGTTTGCTTTTTTTCTAATTATAATTTCTGTTGCTTTAACCACTCTGCACATTCAGTTTAAAAAATTTTACTAGCTCTGCCCAACATAGTAAATTATTAAGTTTTCCTTCTTCAGTCTACAGTTTTAAAGAAGTACTATTGGAGAACTTTAAATAAGTTTTCTTAGCCATTTTTTTTAACTTTTGATGTTTTAAAAAATATTTACTTCATAAATATTAAATGTAATTTTTAATAAGTTAGATGGTTATCAATCTATAGACCAGAGACTACTTTAAAATATTCTATAAAGTATTTTAACTACTTTAGAATATCATATAAAATACTGTGTCTGAAATATCTCATTCTTTATCTTAAATAAATATTGCATGTCTTGAAGCTACTTGTGATTTTTATCAGTAAACATATGTTGTGATCAATTTTTTATGTTCTGCTTTTTACATTTAAATATTTTGTTTTCACTTTTCCATGTTTAATATGATAGGCTTCATTTTTTATTATTTTTATGGTTGGTTAACATTCCACTTAGTCTGCTGTAGTTTGAATGATTATTTTCTAGTTGTTTGGCATGTGTACAATTTCCAGTTGTTGTGATCATAAGTAATGTTGAATAAGTATTTTGGAACAGATTAGTTTTTTTTGCATTTGAATTATAGGATTATCATTGTTAAGCCTCTTCTTAGCATTTTACTTATTGTGTTCCAGTAAGATTTGTACTGATTTAAATACTGGCACTTTTGTTTTCAAAGCTTTGATAGTGTTGGCTTATATCATTTCTGTGATTCTCAATGTTTTGGGGTAGAATGTTCCAAACTATAAAATCTTTTTATTATTATTATAAACTGTTAAGTACTCATCTAGATGTGTAATAAGTGCATTAAGGCAGCAGTTTCTCAAAGTTATGATTCCCAGACAAGCAGCATCAACATCACCTGGGAATTTGTTAGAAATGCAAATTCCCAAGCATTACCCCAGAACTCCTGACTGAAAACTAGGGGTGGAGTCCTGCAGTTTGTTTTTATAGCCTGTCAGGTGATTCTGATACAAATTAAAGCTTGAGGATCATCATCTAAAGCAGTGATTCCCAACCTTTTTTGGCCATGCCCTGCCTAAGCATCTCTAAAATCCTGATGGCTTCCCCTGTGACATACAATTCTTATTATTCAAAAAGTAAACTGTTCACGTGGAGGAAGCCTAAAAGGCCATTAACTTTGTCTAAATAAGCTTCCAAAGAAAATGGCATCCATGAAAAAGAAAAAGAAAAGAATGAAAGGACAGTTGAAGTACTGAGGAAGAAATCACTAAGAAATTGTTTTTAAAAAATAATGTGAAGTGATATGAAAAAATAGCAAATAAAGTTTCAAAACATATAATAGAGAACTGAAATGCATAAATATGTCACAATATATATTGTATATGAGGCCCCTAGAACCACAAGAAAAGCTAAAAATTCACTGTTAGTAACTCATTCTTGAATTGCCCCCCTCAAAAATCAAATTCAGGCGTGTGCCCCATGCTGGGAACCACTGATCTAAAGGGATTGGGAGGGTTGAGAAAGGAAGTTTATCTCTAGATACTTATGATCCAAGTAATCGCTGGTTTAGAATCTTTCTAACTCAGAGAAGAGAAGAGAAAATGGTACTGGGAAAATTCAGGGAATCTCTGAATTGCTCCTGTGCCTTCCCATTTCATAACAGTGATTGTTTGTTGAAATTACATTGCTTTTAAAGCCGTACTTGTAGAACTGACATTAAAGGACTTACTACAAAATCATCTGCATCCTCTTTTCCCCAGAAAAAAGCCATCTGCCTTTGGAGTAGTAACTCTATATGGAAACTAATAAATGGAAAAGGCAGCTGTAACAGGGCAAGTGGATGAGACATTGCCTTGCCAGAGGCCAAAGTGCTACCCTGTCGAGCCTAGAACTCTGAATTTGATGACAGGGTTAAGAAGCCTCTCCATCTGCCAGTCAGGTCTCAAAGAAGATTACCTGTGGCATTACAATGACAAGAACAATGACCCCAAATATGTTGAGGGAGCAAGCTTTACTTTGCTGTGGTTATTGTGAGGTGTTGATATCCCCTAAAAATTTCCCCTAGTGATAGGGAAGGTGCCTCATCAATTTTAGTGTTATAAGGAAAGAGAAGGAAGCCATGAAGGAGAATCTTTTCCAAGGTTAGGAATTTGGGGAAGATAGAATATACCTAAAATTTTCTTTTCAGCAAGAGCCAGAGCTCAGTCATGGTCACTTAATAAATCTTTGCTTACTACATCTGTTTTTCTGCCTAGCTCTAGAATTTTTTATAAAAATTTTTATAAGAGTTTATTTGAGCCAAACTAACTGTATCCTGGGAAACAAGATCTCAAATGCTCCCTACTCTAGAATCGTGATTGCTTTTTAAAAAATCCTCACCTGAGGATGTTTTTTTAGAGAGGGAGAGAGAGAAACAGAAACGTCGATGTGAGAGAAACATAAATCTGGATATGTGCCCTGACCAGGAATCAACCCATGACCCTTCAGTGCATGGAATAATGGCTCCAACCAACTGAGCCATACCAGCCAGAGCTTGAGTACCTTTTTAAAATATATATATATTTCTTTATTGATTTCAGAGAGGAAGGAAGAGGGAGAGATACAAACATTAATGATGAGAGAATCAATGATCAGCTGCCTCCTGCACGCCCCCTACTGGGGATCGAGCCTGCAACCCAGGCATGTGCCCTTGGCGGGAATCAAACCTGGGACCCTTCAGGCCACAGGCTGACGCTCTATCCACTGAGCCAAACTGGCTAGGGCTTGAATACCTTTTAAGAAAGATGACATTAATCATTTTTGCTGATGTCTGTTCTCTGACTGTTCATAAGAGAGTTCAGATTCCTTTTAGAATTTTATTAGACAATAGTGTTTTTTTTTACGTTCCTAATGAAATTAGCCTGTAGACTTTTTTTTTTGGTTGTAGGATAAAAAAATATAGGATGGTATGTATACATTATTAAGTTACTGCACAATTCCTCAAGGAAAGCTAGATTTGGTTTTGATATTTCTGATTATTATCCCAGAGAGGGAAGCACTATGACTTGTAAACACTATTATTTATTACTTCTAAGATTCATAAGATACAAGACAGAAACATACCAGTTATCCAGAAGAAATATTGCTGTTTTTTTTTTTGCAACTAGATATGAAAAATAATCCCATGGGTGACATTTTTTAAGGGAACTTTGGGAAAGGCAGATAGTTAAGGTAATTAGCTTATCCTTAGATACTTCTGTTATCTTTCCTGTTTCTGAAATAACTTACTTTTTTCAATAAGCCAATAAAATTTCCACTATAGTTGAAACAAAAAAAATACATGACAGTTTTGAAATTGAAAATTATTTTTAAAATTATTGGTGGTAAATGTGATCTTTAATACATACAAGAATGTCCTAACATTCAAAGAAGTAATATACTACTGCGTCACATTTTCTTATTTGTTTTAAAGTTGAGATGCCAGGCCCTCATATTTTTAATGGAAAGAATGTGCTTATTTACCTTGGTTGAGATTCAGCACCTTTGAACTATAGGAGGATTGTAAGGGAAACATAGAGACTAAAAGGCATTTCTGCCTATTTTAACCAACTGAATGTTAACTTACCCATACTAGCAACTAAGAACCCAATGGCTTATGTAACATCTTTAAGGCTTTTCTCTCTTTTTCTCGTGCCCCTCCCCCGCAGCTTATTGTCTGCTAGAAAAATAAAATAATTGCAACACTTGAAGTTTCTTCAAATATATTTTGTATTTGAACCTTATGTATTATAGATAGATTATAGTTTGCCTCCATAGGTGGTAGGACTCTTTGGTGTGTTCTTTTTCTTTTCTTTCTTTTTTTTCCTGCTTTTTCTGTATTTCTTCTTAGAATAAAATAAATGTAGACTTTGTGTCAGATAACCTGTTTCTGTAGATAGATAGCCTACAGTAGCTGACTTCTTTCCTTCATCTGAGTTTCTTTTCCTTTCCTAGATAGGCATTGCCACTTTGAGAAGACCTTTTTTATTTTGCTTGAAAAGTCTCAACTTTTCAAAGTTTCCACAATCAATTTCTGTTGGCTGGCATTTTTCCCCCCTGTATGTAAACTGTCAAAACTAAAGGCAAGGAAAAAATTTGAGTGTTGACACAGATGTAGAGTAATTAAAACTCTCAAAAACTGCTAGTAGAAAAGTAAATTGAGTTTGAATATATGCATACTCTATGATTGACAGTCTCACTCCTAGGTATACACCCAATAGCATGTTCATGTGTTCACCAACAAATTCACACAGCAACGTTCACAGCAACATTTATAATAGTCAACACTGGAAATTACTTAAAGATGCATCAATGGTAGAATAGTAGATTCTGGTGTATTCTCACACTATTGGAATTTTAAATGGTAATAAGAACGAATGACCAATAACTAAATGTAATAATATGGATGGATCTCTCAAACTTAACGTCAAGTAAAAGAAGTCAGATACAAAAGAATGTATATTAAGCTGTTAATCTAGCACATTAGATGTCATAATAATGAATTTTCCTTGGCAGTGGGAAGTGGGGCTTGGCTAGTGATTATCAGAGGGCACAAGATGGCTTCTAGAGGCTGGCAAAGTTCTCTTCTTGTTCTGTATACTGGCTTTGGTTTTGTGAAAGTTCATCGAGCTATATACTTAGAGTATATATACTTTTCTGATGTAAATTGTGCTTCCATGAAATATTTTTAAAAAAGAGAAAAATAATAGAATCTTAAGGCTTGCAAAATCTGCACCTATAGTTTATGTTATTAATCCTCACCTGAGGATATTTTTTCCATTGGTGTTTAGAGAGAGTAAAAGAGAAGGAGGGGAGGGGGGGGGAGAGAGAGAGAGAGAGAGAGAGAGAGAGAGAAACATCGATGTGAGAAAGACACATTGATTGGTTGCCTCCCACACAAACCCCAACCAGGCCTGGGGATCGAGCCTGCAACCCAGGTACATGCCCTTGACCGGGAATCGAACCTGAGACTCTTTGGTCTGTGGGCCAATGCTCTAACCTCTGAGCAAACTGGCCAGGACTGCACCTATAGTTTTAAGAAGCACGCGTTCTTTATTTGACAAAGAATTAACAGGTTATTTTAATATAATGTGAGTGATTATAATAGACTAGAAGCCTAATGCACGAAATTCATGCAAGGAGCTCTACTCTCGCAGCCCCGGCTGCCTGGGCCTTCACAGCCCTGCCTTCGTCTGGAAAATCATCCAGGAGGTCGTCTGGATGGTCATTCTGCTGTTCGATCTAATTAGCATATTAGCTCTTTATTATATAGGATTCCATCACCTTAATTTTCCAGTTTTTCAGTATCCCCTACAGCATTACTCATCTTTCAGCTTTATTTCCTTGATGAGGACTGGGAGTTGGTGGGGTGGGGTGGGCTGGTTATAGGGCAAGAGCACATTAATATTTTGTAGTCATTATTCTGAAAATTGAAAACATTTATTATAATCTTGCCTTGTAGTTTTTGGCTTTTATGAGGTTATTATGAAAGAAAACATTTGATTCTTATTATGAAAGCAAACACTGAAATCCAAACCATGAGAAAAGTATTTCTTATAACTGACTTCCTATTAGATTTCATTTCTAATGACTCACCATTTTATTTGGATCACTTTACCTTTTCTGAAGAAATAAGGACATTAAGAGAATAATTTCCCATGAAGAAACTGAGCAGCCTAATATGTGATATTTAAATTTGGCATTTTGTGTAACAATTATTTTTTAATTTTGCATTTCACAGATAATGGGGAAATTACAAGTTCTTTAACTGTCTTTCAAATTTCTTATTTTTGAAATCTTATTGAAAACAAATTGTAATCTATAGATGTATTAAGTAGTCTTTAAAATTAGGTGTTACATTAAGTAAGTGCTGGCAAAGATGAGGAACAACTGGTAGTTTCATATTCTGCTGACAGGAACACAGAGGAACACAGTTCGGCAGATTCTTATAAACTTAACGGATATTTACCATATCACTCTGGAGCCCCACTCCTGGGTGTTTGTACTCCTGAAATGAAAATTAGTCACAAAAAAACGGATACTCATTTGTTAATAACAGCTTTATTTGTGATAGCCACAAGCTGGAAACAACCCAGATGCCTTTCAGTGGGTGAATGAGTAAAGAATCTGTGGCACAGCCTATGCAGTGGAATACTATTCAATGTAAAAAGCAACAGTGGAGATATATGTAACACTTTTCTCGAATTTCAGAAACATAATGAATGGGACAAGCCAGCCTCAAGAGGTTACATTCTGTTGTTTCATTAAAAAAAAAACCCAAAAACTTAAAAAAAATCTATAAATATTTGTATTGATTTCAGAGAGGAAGGGAGAGGGAGAGAGAGAAACATCACTGATAAGAGAGAATCATTGATCGGCGGCCTCCTGCACACCCTACACTGGTGATCAAGCCCACAACCCGGGCATGTGCCCTGACCAGGAATCGAACCCTGACCACCTGGTTCATAGGTCAACCCTTAATCACTGAGCCACGCTGGCTGGGCTGTTGTTTCTTTTTTTTTACACAAGGCATAGCACAAGAGAGACCTTTTGGGATGATGAAGCTGTTCTCTATCCTGATTGTGGTGATAGTTACACATGTGTTAAAATGTATAGAGTTGTAGCCCGGCCAGTGTAGCTCAGTTGGTTGAACGTAGTCCTATGCATCAAGAGGTCCACAGTTCGATTCCTGGTCAGGGCACATGCCCAGGTTGCGGGGGTGCAGGAGGTAGCCGATCAGTGTTGATGCATTAATGTTTCTATCTCTCTAAAATCAATAAAAACATATTTTGCCAAAACCAGTTTGGCTCAGTGGATAGAGCGTCGGCCTGCGGACTGAAAGGTCCCAGGTTCGATTCCGGTCAAGGGTATGTACCTTGGTTGCGGGCACATCCATAGTAGGAGATGTGCAGGAGGCAGCTGATCGATGTTTCTCTCTCATCGATGTTTCTCTCTCCCTTCCTCTCTGTAAAAAATCAATAAAATATATTTAAAAAAAACAAACACATTTAAAAAAAACATTTATAGAGTTGCATACCAAAGAAGAAGGTTACTTTTACTGTCTGATAATTCTAAGAATGGATAGTATGTGAGAACCGAGTTTTTGTTGTGATCCTGGAGTTTTTACACCTTTTATTTTATATATTTATCTAATAGAAATTATTAAAATTATTGAGCAGTCTGTTTAATTCCAGAACTTTAAGTTATGTACTTGTTAAAAGCATAGTTAATACTACATCTTTCCTAGTTAGTAGAGAAGTGAAGATGGGGGAAGAATGGCCTCTGTCAAGTTAAGAATGTATAACTGAATGTGTTCTTTAATGGCTTTTCCTTGTAATCATTTTGTAGATTAAAAATTTATCAAACTAGTGAAAATGCCACTAACTTTACCTTGTGCATTCATCTAATAGCAGGTGAGACACATAAAGGTGACAGGGAGGATATGGCTCATGGTGTTGCTCTTTCATCTTGTTTTCTTGCTCTTGCCATTCATTGTCTGTCTTTTTTCCATTTCTTCCATATTCCTTTAAGTGATTTCAGGGAGGAAGTGTAATATGTGTACATGTAAGTTTTTTTTTATGGAATAAAATTAGAAAATCAGATGAGAACAATGTTTTCATATTTCCACAAGACTTCTGTGTATTGTTTTCATCCAGTGGGAGGTAAAATCAAGTAACTGTTGGACGAATACTTACCAAGTGCCCCTGGCATATAGGGGATATAACAGTGAACCAGTCCAGAGTTCTCCCTACTCATTAAGCTTACATTGTCATCCACTGGGGAGTGATGAGGAGCAGTATTACATTTTGAGGAGTTGATTTCCATCCTCATATGTTTTGTGTATCAAGACCATCAGGTGTTTTGACTTTTTAAAAAATATTGTGCCCTTGACCAGAATTGAACCAGGACCCTTCAGTCCCCAGGCCAACGCTCTATCCACTGACCCAAACCAGCGGGGCTCCCTCATATGTTTTAATCACTTTAATACCTGTCAGATTATAAGGCCTGTTTAATCTATTCAAATTTTTACCAGATTGATAAAGAATAATTATTTCTTAAATTCTACATATACTAGTATTCTCTACATTTATATCAGGAAAGTGTATTGGCTTTGGCATTCCAAAATTATTGGATAATGTGATAATCATAATCATATAGCATTGGTGAGTAGACTATATGTGTCACTGAATTTGTAGTTCAGTAGTTTTTGTCTTGGTGAGTAGAGTAATAGTTACATGGCTAAAAAGCGTCTTATGAATTATGTAAGACTATATAATGCTTACAAACAAATGCTATCAAATATTTAAAAAAATGTTTGGTGAACTATATGGCATATTGTTAAAATTCCTTTCTTTTTTTTTTACCCCCAGGAGAAATCTGAATTATTTTTCCAATGCTTATGCAGCTGCGGTGAGTGCTGTGGATCCTGATGCAGGAAATGGAGAGCTTTGCATTAAGGTTCCATCAGAGTTATGGAAACATGTTGATGGTAAAATACCAAGATGATATTGACTGTGCAGTACATTCATGTTAGGTTCAGTGACTAGAACCTTGACATGAAAACAATGTCAAAATTATAAATTTAAATAATCGCAAGTTGGAATCTTTTTTTTCCCTTAAGGATCACAGGCTAACAGGAAAATAGCAATGAAGGGGTGTGACAGAAATCAACTAATTTCACTGTTGTTTTTAAAGTGAAAGTTAGAAAAAAAAATCAGATGACTGGAACAATTTGTCGAGATTTGAGATTCCACACAATATCAAATCAGTTTAGGATTTTAGCATTTTATAGCAGGAAGAATCCTAAAAAATCATCATTCCTTCCTTTTACAGAAGAGTCATCTGAAGTTGAAAGAGAGTAAGTGACCTGCTGAAGGTCATTAATTAATAGTAGAGTCAAGGCTAGAACATAGGGTTTATAACACCCACTCTGCACACTTTTGAGCATAGTTTTATTTCTAAATTTTTATTTTCTTGAATATATTTATAGCCATTACAATTATTATATATAACTTTTTGCCTACCTTTATTTGGCCTTATAAAAATTAAACATGATAAGGAAGTAAAACACATTTTGTTTTGATTTTGCATATTGCTGGTTTTTTTGTGTGGGTGGGATTATTTTGAGGGGAGAGGTTTGCCTAATTTAGGGTACAGACATGGAAAGTCATCATTGTATTTTCAGAGATTGCGGATAGTGCATATGGTTATAATGTTTTGGGGAAATTAAAAGAAACAACTTTTAAACTTAATATGAAAGCAACACATTCTGTAGAAATCAAGTGAGACAAAAAAAACCACATAATAAATAATGCATAATGTAAATTCTTGGGTAAGCTTTCCCATCTACCCTACCCTTCACTTCTTCATCTACTCCCAAGGTCAACTAGGGTTAACTATCTGTGGGGAAATGTAATAATAGAACAAACTTTTTTTTTGCCTGCTTTTTGTATTTTTTTTTAAATTTTTGCGGGGGGTTTCTATGTATTTTAACTTTTATTAAATTTATTAGGCTGACATTAGTTAATAAAATTACATAGGTTTCAAGTGTACAATTCTATGATATATCATCTGTATGTTGCATTGTATGCCCAGCACCCAGAGTCAAATCTTCCATCACCATATATTTAACCTGAAAAGTATGTCTTCAATTGGATCTAGAAGAGGAGGACTTAAGCGTCCGATGTGGGAGTTGTGAATTTTTTTCTTTAGGCAGTGTAGCATTTCCAGGAGTGTTGACATGAGGACATGGCATAGCCAAAGCTACATTTCCAAGAACACAGCAGTGACTAGAATTGAGTGGAGCCAAGAACATCTGTGAAGGCAGGCTAAGGAATTAACCTAGGTGGAGAGATGGTGAAACCTGAACTTGGTTAAGGAGTGTGGTTTTTCATGAGCCTTTTTATGTTCAGTGTAAGTTTGCTCTTATTACATAGACCACTAATTTACATACTTATGTATCAATGCATGTGTGTATTTATTTGTTGCAGAATTAAAGGTCCTAAAGATACACATCAATTTTTCTTTGGATCAGCCAAAAGGAGGTCTTCATTTTGTGGTACCCAGTGTAGAGGGAAGTATGGCAGAGAGAGGTGCTCATGTTTTCTCTTGTGGGTATCAGAATTCCACAAGGTAGATTACTCATTCTTATATATTTTAGTTAATTTCATTTTCAATGTAAATACAATACATGTTTTTAGTGTAAAATGAGAAGTACTGCTTGATTCCCCCAATCTCTTCTACCTCTTTCTTGTTCTATTAGTCATTCCTCCTCAATATGTCTTCTCTCTCATTTGTAAGTATATTGTTCTAAAATAATCTCAGGTCTTTTTTTTTTTTAATTATTATTATTTTTTAAATATATTTTATTGATCTTTTACAGAGAGGAAGGGAGAGAGAGAGAGAGCTAGAAACATCAATGAGAGAGAAACATCCATTAGCTGCCTCCCGCACATCTCCTACTGGGGATGTCCCCGCAACCCAGGCACATGCCCTTGACCGGAATCAAACCTGGAACCTTTCAGTCCGCAGGCCGACGCTCTATCCACTGAGCCAAAACGGTTTCGGCAGATCTTTTATTTTTTAACTATATTTTGAAGTAAACAAAAAGTTACACAAGTTGTATATAAAAAGTTCAATAAATTTGCTCAGGTGAACAAACCTATGTAATCCACACTCACATCAAGAAAAAGAACATGACCAGCATCTCAGAGTCTCTTTCCCACCCATTTCCATTCACTGCTTCCCTACCTGAAATTCT